AATTCAATAAAGGAAGACACGAGGAATGCTCAACAGAGACCAAAGGTACCACAAATCACTTTATCGCTTATTTCAATGGCCAAGGATGCTTCCAAGGACCATTTCTACCACGTTTTGAGGTACCCTCCCTTTTTTAAGCTTGGAACATATGAGAACAATGACCCTACTCAGACGACAGGGTTCAAGAAACAGGCCATGCTACCTAAGTAAGCAGTCGAGAAGCTGAAAGGTGTTTGAACATCGGGCAAACTGCTTCTTTTTACGGTCCAGTGGGAATATTGCCTCCCTATGTCTTTCTCTCCTTCACTGATAATTGGATCCTTTCCTAAATCACTTCGCCACACTCGTTTACCTATGGTTACCAAAACTTAGAGTACTTTCTTTTGCTAACATGGAATAATTGTTATCCGTTTATCGAGAAAATTATTATCCTTTTACCAACATCTCATTATCTAATTAAGTTCAACTAGTCTAAACGCCAATTCATTTTGTCACCACTCAGAAATTTAAAATAGCTGCCACATGCAAGAGCTAATGAATATTGTAATTACCTTCCTACGTTATCGAGACGAGGACAAGTATGATATTAATGGACGTGCATGCAGCCAAATGCATCTTACTGCTTGGACGAATTAAATGATTCGTGATATTTCCTTAGTTATAACGATCGAACGAATATCCTGAATGAAAGTGAATACAATATTTACAATATGTCAGCCGTTAAAGCCTAAAAGATTTTTGATATTTACAGAGTATGTACAATGACAGTATGCGAACGAAGTATGTAATTCATAATCTGAAGCGCTTGCAAGTATAAATATAGTTACTTATATATACAATTTAATTGGTAACTTACCGTGAAGCGTTAAAAGTGCATTAACAATCGTGACAAGTTCACGACCGACCGTGTTAGTCCGTTTTTCATACAGTATTATCTTACGTTCAAGGAAAGAGAAATCAAGGAAACATGATCGCACGCAATCACGCTGGTATTCGTTTCACTCGCATGCAGTTTCACTTAAAATATACTCAAATATATATATATTGTCACAGCAATAAACGCAAAAATTTACTGTGGATTTCTTGCACGCCTTGCGTTTCGATAGCGAAAATATCGCTTCTGGTTTTTGGGATAATCAACTTGCGTTGTAAATTTAAAAAACGACTGAAATAATAATCTGGAGATAAAGATATATTTGAAGTGATAATAATCATAAAAGCTTAAACATAGGAGTTTTTTAAAATAAAGTTGTGTATAATTTTCTTTTTGATTAGTGGTAATAGTGCAATAGTAACTACTTACACTGTAAAAATAATTATAAAATATGTTGCATTAATTAAACAAATATTTTATAACAATAATAGAAGACCAAAGTTATGGATATCAAGCTTGTCAAGACTATTATCATAACAAATATACAAAAATGTGATAAAATAAGAAACTTAACTGTGACCCGTTATTCGCTCACTTTTCCTTCTCACTTATGATTCAAGAACAAAGGAAGAACATTTTGGTTTATAAGCAAATACGCGGCGGACAGCATTACTTCGCGAGGCAATTTAATTGTACATTTCAATCAACATGAATCCCGATTAACGTCAAGCACGAGAGATCCGCGTAAGAAACGACAACAACGAACCGGAAAAGCAAGCTCATTAACGACGGACGACGAAAAAAACGCTGGACAGGGACCAATGAAATAATCACGAAAGCTCCAAGGACGTACGAAAGCGACAAAATAATTCAAGACATCGCATACACAGCAGCATAACGTTTATTAGCACACCAACGATATATATGTATAAATATAACGCACTATAATCGCTTAAATTTACCGTCTATACTGTACCTAATTTTAATATACTCTTACACATGATTACTCGCCGAGCGATTACAATAACTAGACGAAGCGTATAACGTAAAATAAAATATAAAAATCAATCACAAAATAAACTATGTGTATACCAGGGAAGGAAGTTTGATGTAACAAATCAAAAAAACACTTAATCTACGAGTCTCGCTATTCGTCGAGCGCCTCTGGCTGTCGCAGATAGGTTCGTTTAAATTGTAATATTACGATGCAAAAATACAAAGGGAGATTTTGATTGTAAACGAGCTTACGAAATTATGGATTTATTATTGGATAACGTGTACAAGTAGCATGCGAGAAGATTGCTCTTGAGGATGAGTATGCGCCTCATTTTCAGAAGCAAACCCTTCGCGAGCGACTACTGTATTTTGCTGAAAATGGCAGACTGATACTAGACACAGTTTGAAAAATAAAAATGTCGAGAATAATTTGTAACATCCAGGAGAAACCTATCCACGATTTCCTGATAAACGCAACGTTCTAAATCACCCACCGCACCCGTTACAATACCCACTTGTCGTTGAATACTTTCACTTATTGTTAGGTATAACTTTCGTTAAGATCTACAACGACGATATCTGATACGACCTAAAAGAATCGAAGTCCGATAACGTGGAACCTCTTTGAATACTTGGTGTGATGTCTTATAGCTACTGCTGGGGAAAGGAGTGATTGCACATTTTTTCACGAGGAAAAATTCTTTCCTCTACTTTATCGAATATACGCGTTACAACGAACGTGTAAGTGAAAAAGGAAGCGAATACTACGGTGTGGTTAGAGTGTCTATGATTTCGTGTAACGATTGTGCGTTTACTGTGGTTGAAAAAGTAGTATCTTTTACGATACGTCGGCACCTGCTTAAAAAAAAAACAGGTTGTGCGTATATTTACAGAAACAGAGTAACCGACGTAATGTATGTGGCAAATGATAAGTGTATATGAAACCCAGAGTAAACTCTAACAGGGAAATAATTGGCAAAATCATCGATACAATAATCATCGTTAGTTTCTATACAGATATCATGTACAGTGTATACATATACGCACGACGACTCGTATATATAGGGTGCTAATGAAAGAAATGATTCAAGAATCCGAGGACGCGTAATGACGATTAAAATTACCGAATTATAATTTTATCGTAATTCGATGTTATTGAAAATTGATATAGATTGGTAGCGTAGCAATACGTTTCTTTTATTGACGAACTATTACGTCTCGTAAACAATTAACGGTGTGAGCTGTACTATGTGCATTACTTAACATTAGCATCCGATTGTCAACGTTGGCACTAGCTGTTTCTAGATTGTCATAGTTGGAGCTAATCGACGTACCACTACGCCTTTTCGAAGTATCAGCTTTTAAATTTATGTAAAGTGGATTATATACTGTTCACGTAGTTCTACATTATTACCTTATACCACTTGGACTCCATTGACGTGCTTGTTACGTCTTCGCTAAATCTAAACTTGAGAGCCTTCCACGTAACATGTTTTACCTTATATAAAAACCAGAGTTTCATTAACGTAGTACTACATTCTCAGCTTGTAAACGTTACAACGTGAGATTGGTTCACAAACTGCTACGTCTTATTCAAAACTACACTCGAGAGTCTCTAATACAGTTCCATCTGTTTCTTTCACAACTTCTTTCAGGTTGCAAACGTTAAAAGGATATGACGACTTGGTTACGCGACAAGTTATCCTTTCTTCTCGATACTATCCAAGCTATAACCAACATATACTGATAAATAACACTGGCTGCCCGAGAATGTCGTTCTTGAATCCTCTATAAGAAGATCTCCTTCTGCTCTGTCAAAGCTGATTCATGGCTCTCCGATCACTCATTTAAACACGCGTCAAAACTCTTGAATCCTCTTTCAAAGACCCAGCATATACACGTATATATACATCACAGTTAACGAACCAATGTAGTCGATAACCTAAGGAACTATTCGATCTTTAATCGTAGGTAGCTTACACAGAAAGGTGTACGAGTCTACTCTGTCGATCGTGTATTTCCTTTCCGACGAGCGTTTCGCCGGAAACGAGGGCAGCTTCCGGAATTATCGTGAAAACACTTCGCTCTGGCTACGAGAAACTGGCGCTGAATGTGAGCAGAGCACCTCGAGGCACGACAGTCACAGTACTGCCTCGTTTATTGAAATCAACTGGCCACCGTTGGATTATAAAGCGATTTAGTAACGTGTAGTCGCCACAATATGCGTGCAGGACCGTTTCGAACTGCGGTAAGCGGGTTTTCAGTTTCCCAGTTGCTAGCTGCTCGAGACGACAAGTGCTCGATACAAAGAAACTTAAACAGAGGTTGAAAGAGGAGGAGATGTTTTCATTTCAAGTATCCCTATCGCAAATTTATTCAAAAAGCGAGGCAGTGCTGTTATTCTCTCCGCAGATAGGATTCCGCTTGCGCTGCACGTCTACCGTCGCGTGTTAGCAAAGACTGAACACTTTATTAGCGTATCGCGGCTATATTCTTCGCTCGACGCATTCGTCCAGTCGGGGAAATTAAAGGAATGCCACGTCCCGCCAAAATACTGGACTTCTAGACTTCTGGCGCTGGCCAGAAAACGCGAATCTAGACGCCCAGGTCTAGCAGTCCCACTGGATCACTTTTCTCCAAGACCCTGACATTAAAACACGTCCGACTGCGGTCAAGTTGAACATCCATGACGCACGGAACGACGGATACAGTATTCTAGCAAATCGTACAACCAAGGAGAACACAACGTAACTTGAATACAATAAAACAATCAGCACAAAACAATAACCGCGAGCAAAGTTGTCATGACGGGAAAGAAACCCTCGCAGTTCGACCAATCGAAAAGAAAATTCCCTCAAAAGACAGTCCTCTCGTGAGCAGTTTTTTTTTTTTTTACTCGACGTGAAATGACATAAACGCAAACGATTACATTCTCGTGAATTCTTCGTTTGGAATTTTCTGTACCGGCTGTTTACTCTTCACCCGTGGGAGTATGATCTCCCACTGGCGATTGTCGTCAGGGAAACGGTCAAAAACAAGAAAAAACAAAGACGTAACACAACGATTATGCATTTACACGTGGGCAGAAAGAAGCGTCATGCGGTGCAGCCAAGCGTGCGTTGCTGTTTACCTGCGAACGGCACATCTCCGAAGTACTCCTCGACGTTGTCCGTCGACATGCTCTTGTCCGACAGAGAGACGCTCGACAACGAGCCACTGGACGCGTCTAGGGAGCCACCGGCTGGAAACTGCAATAAATCCTCGTCCGTTTCCGTTTCCATGTCGCGGGACCTCCGTTTGTATACCTGACGGGACATAAACGCAAGTACGATTTTTCGAAAAGCTTTCGAGCTTCGACGACAGATTTTATCCTATTCTGTTACTTTATCCTATCCACCTCCACGAAAAAGGTTACGCACTACTGTTTTACACTGTTGCATACATGTATGCATCGACTCGAATGCTTTAACACTTTGGCTGTCAGACTAAAACTCGTGAAAATTTTTACCAAGTTAACATTTTATCCCGAGACTGTTGAAGATTAGATAATTTAACAATTGTCGTAATATTTAATTTTTTAAATCTGTTTAATTCACAAAGTCTATCCAAATTCATTTTCAGTATGGTCTCACTGCTGGAAGTAATTTTTTTAGGTCTCTATTGAAAACTCCTGTCACCCATTTCTGGGTGACGCTGCGACCAACGTGTTAAAACACTTTATGAAAAATAATTTAGGCATACCTATATTTCAATTTTAATGGTCGATATGAAAAATTCTATTGCAGCCATTATTACCCAGGGAATAAAAAAAATTGAAATGAAAACTTTCCTGTATCGGGAATTTTCATCGAACGGTTTTGTCGATTTTCCAACGATAATTTGCGAGCGTATTATCGAAAAAATGATGAGAAATGACATTTCGCGCGGCAGCGTTTACAAACGACACAGATATTCATTCTTCCGTTCGCAGAGCGAAAACGTCCACGCGATAGACAAACAAACGCGGTTCCAACTCGATAAAAATCTATTGGAAGCGATCACTTGATACGATTATATAAAATAAACTGCATGAAACATAGCTTGGACAAATAAATCGCAAGCGAAAAATATTTGTCCCCACTTTCGATTCGCAATTTCGAATTTTCACGCTTGGGGATATTAAAATTTCAATTTATCATGTCCGGCGAAAATGCCTCGTCCGTTATTATTCGCGATATCACGTGCTTCTTGATGAATATTAGACTCCGAATTTAATAATACAAGCGTCAGAAGCGTGCACATATTCGACCCTAAATTAGCAAGAGGATCAAGGGTTGCTAATTATAAATAACACGATTAAAAATACCAAAGATTAAAGATTCGAAATCTTTAACAGTCAAATTTCAAACTAAAGGATTGAATCCAAAAGTCATTAATTCCGTTTTTGTTTGTTTTCTTTAAAAATGTAATGGTATCTACGCTGCGTGTATAAAAATCACCGCACCAAATTTCATTATTTTCAAGCAAATCATCCTTAAAACATTAAACAAAACAAACATCATCATATGTACACGCATTCACCCAAACATTCGAGTTCTTCAAACATTTCTAAAACACATATGCAGTACCTAAAACATCATGAAAATCTAGAGAAAAAGAAGTCAATGTTTCAGAACGTTTAAGGCAAAAGACCTCCTCAGCGTCGGAGAGATAAGATTCCGTCGCGTTGCGGATCGTCGTAACGCAATTAAAATTTGACGCCAGGGACTCGTCGGTAGGTTCTTCTCCCTCTTTATCGCATCTTGTCTACGTATAGCCGGAAACCGTCACTACAAATTCGTAGATTTCTCAGCGCCGCGGCAAGGAGACCGAGCGTTCACGAGGAGAAGTCAGACAGGCATAGAAGCCGAGGGCTTCATTATTCAAAGGGTGTCGGCGTCTTGCATTCTGCCGCTCTGCTGGATCCGCGGAAGTTGACGGGTGTGAACCAACCATCCGTGAGCAGTTCCCCCCTTATCCTTCCAACGCCTCTTCCATCTTCTCGTCCTTCCTTCAGCGCGGCCTCGCGCTGCCTCGCTTTCTCCTGTCATCGATCCTTCCGGATTTTCCACGATACCCCTTGATCCTGTCATCGAATCGCATCTGACATTCTCGCCTTTCGCGATTTGCGGCGATGCCAGCCGAACGAACGGACGCCGAAAGGACGGTTCGTTTCCAGCGGATATCCACGCCTCGTACACGTCAGGTCCTACGCCTTGCTGAATTTTCGACAAAAGATAGTCGATACGAGACGCTCGACCAGTCCATTGGCCGTTTAATTGGATTTTTATTCGAGGTGGATCGGCAATGCACACGAATGAGGTTGCTGGGTATAGAAGATACACCAGAACCTCGATTAGTGCACGAGGATTTCGTTCGTTGCATCGTGTCGATTTATGGAGGGGGTGGTTGCTTAGCAAGAAGAGACACGTTATGAACGTATGAGTCGTTCATCGCACAAGTCGGTTAATTCCATAAAACAGAAAGTTGAGAAATACGACAGAAATGGCCTCTCAAATAAATTATTTATTATTTAATGGCAAAAAAAATGTTGCCGTTTAATCAGTCGTCTGTGGTGTCCTCTTTTCAGAACACAAAGACTAATATTGGATCGCAAAGACGGCTATATATTAGGTCGTCCTAAAAATTCATGCCATTAACTCTTCAATAACCAATGTAACTAAATTTTACGCATCGTATACTTAGACTGCTGTGCTTGGAGTACAAGAAAAGATGCTTGTTTAAAACGGATCAATTCCTGAACGAATCTCAATGTTTTTCAAATCGCAATGCTACACGCCCGAGTTACACACTCGACCTAGCTTTCCTCGAAACGTAGGTTTAAAATTCCCAAAATGGATGAGCCAGTACAATGACAATTGTAAGAAGCGTTCCATAGGAAATAATTAACACGAATTTGTGCTCGCGAATGAAACACAGAAGCCAGCTCCTACAGAGGCGGGAGTTTGACAGAAATTTGATACGCGGATTATACACGGTTTCATTTCACAAACAGCTCGTGACCCACGTCGCTTAAGCAGAGGCCTTTGTCGCGACAACGTTCCAGGAGATGACTAAATTGTGCCGAAACGGTATCTCGTCCCCGTTGATGAGATTTACGGGCTTCAATCGAAATGGAGGTTGACTCGTTATCGCCAGTCGCGACCCTGTGACTTGCCAATTACCGGCCGGCTAGATTGCCGGATCCATGAACTCGCGCACCCTCTCCCTCCTAGTTCGACGAAATTGCGTGTCGCTTCCTCAATTTACAGGAATCGTAAAAGAATATTCTTCGCGTAACAAACCGAAAACGGAGGAGAACAAATTCAAAGACATTCAATTTCCACGATATTTCGCGCAGTGCTCAACCCTTCCAGCGGATCGTTTTGAACGGTATCGATCCGGAAAACGCGAAGGCGCCTAAGTTAAGGTCAAAGTCCCCCAAACAGCATACGCGATATCCTATCCGGCATCCGTAAATCTGGAGGCACTAACTACTCGATCCACCCAAGGAACGCCACGAAGCGAGTGCACCCAGCACATACAAACATGCACACACACACACATGGTTCCCAAAGCCTCTTGGCGTCTTCCAACTCCTCGCTCGAAGGATATATTCACTGTGTGATATTTTGTGAAGCGTGTATAACCGCTGAAAGACACGGATTGCGAACGCATATAGCAGCCAGCGGGAAGGAAGTAGCAAGAGGTGGAGGCCCGTAGGATGAGTAGGAAGATGCGCCGCTGCGGAGGAGGCGGGAGGCATTGGGGTGATATGGGGATAAAGAGAGCAGAAGATAGAGCGATAGAGGAGAAATAGAAGCACCGCGCGGCGTGTGTTATGGATATCCATTCGCAGTGGATGGGAAGCGAACGTAGTCAGTCTCACAGCAGAATGATCACAGGATGACGCGGCAAACGGCGGGAAACGAGCGATACAGGCTGCAACGACGAGAGAGAGAGAGAAGTCTAGCTCCTTGCAAATCGCATCACAGATCAAACACGGCTTGTATATTAAACGCAACCTGCTAAGGCATCTCCGCAGACTGCTTATCTAATGTCCAAGCTCTAGGGTCAACCTGCTGCGTAGAAGACGGCATAACCCTCGCTTCTACTCTGCGTTTCTTCAATCAGAAGCTCGGTGTAGTCGCTAATCTCGTCCCAACTCGCCGATCTCGACCAGCGATAAACATTTCTGGACGTGCCACTGCTACCAAAATGAACATTTCAGGCCAGTACTTTAACGACCCGACGTGCAACCCACTACCGTTTGACGTCTTGGTATGCGACGCGAATGTCAGCGCGTAGACGAATGTATATCCTGCTCCTGATCACCGGAGGATGCAAAATTAAACGCTCATTTCGCACGCCTCGATGAATAGCGTGCGACGAATCGCGGAGACGTCGCTTAAAATCACGGAACTCCGATTGTGTATCAGGACATCTTGGATGCGATTGGAGAACTAAATGGCTCCTCTCTGACAGCGTCGTTCGGTAACGATTTGGATCACTCATGATTCGAATTAGTGATTCGAGGAATCTTTCGTAAAAGCTGAGGATGTGGAAGCTGTTACAGCTTTTGAAGAATTACAGGTATGTGATAGTTTAGTATAGTTTGAAAGGAGAGAAGGAATTGGCCAACCTAGATTTAACAAGATGATTGTTCATATTTGAACATGTGATCGCGAGGCTAGAGCAATGATAAAATTTCCGTGGTATGAAAAAAAGGAATGATGAAGTAGGAATGCAAATAAAAAAAAGGGAGAAGAAAGGTTGAAGGTGTAGCGTTTCGTCTCAGCAAGAAGCAAGAAGACATGGCTACAAATGACTGAATATTATTCTCTCTTTGAACATTACTCTAAATTAACCGTATGAGCAACATTTGTTCTACAGGATTTATTTCTATAGGATTCTACAGGAACATATTCGTTGAACGGACTCCTGAGTTAAGAGCATCCTGATCTACTTCTGCCCCAGGAATCTATCTACGTGTTAATCCATTGAACTATCCAGGCCGTCGATGAGTTCTTCCCTCCTAGGTTTGATAATTCACAATGGCTAGCTCTTAGATCCTTAACAGTTTGTCTCAAGAGTCGTCACGTTCAAGTGATATTATCTTCAGGTATAACAGCAACCTACAAAACATATGTAACCAGCAGATATCAAGACAAAAGTTATCACACAATATCTCTCGTAAGATAAACTATTACTTATGGATTTACATATATGTAGATTTGCAGCTGTTACTAACGCGGCCATGACTCGATGGGGGAGTTAGTAATGGGAATGAAACCAGACGATTCGATAATCGCTTACGCCTGTAGTTTAACTAAAAGTTCTTCGATGCTAGACATTAAGCAGAAGTACTAAAAGGCGTTGACACGATGAGAAGAACCCCCTCTTCGTAATAAATCCAGACGTCGTATTTAACTTGGTGTGCTGTACAGGTCCAAGTATTGAATGAAAACTGCTTCGATGTGAGTATGCAGTTTTGATGTCTTCTCTAAGCATGACAACATAGACATACACCTATGTCACACCTTCCCCTCGCAAACTTAATTTCAGGAATGTTCCCTCAACATACATCCTAACACCAAACATAGTATGGAACGTGTCTACTACAAGGTGAGGCACTACCAACTACCCAACAGAATTATGTCACTCAACCATACTAACATATACACACACAACTCGACATAACAAATCTGGTTAAGCATCTATGATAAGATAGATAATGAGTATAATTAAGCTTATACGAGCTCCACTTCCGAAATATACCCAACTCGTCCTTCTCTTCAGCAGTCAACCTCAACGCCCTATCCTCTCAATACTCCTTCAAGGTCTATCAAAGACATACACCCCCAACAATGATGCACCAAATGCTGCTACAATGTGAACCGAATGAATCGAAACGAGATCGATCACTCGCAGCTTCTACAGTCTACAAACCTACCTGACTCAACGGGCGAATCCTCTCGTGGATGAACTTCTCCGCTTGCATCGCCGACGGCGGGGGGTGATCTGGCGTCGGCGGCTGGACGTAGTGCGTGGGACTCGTGGGCAGCATCATTTGTACTCGTTTCAGGCGCTTGTCCGTCGCCTCGCGACCCTCGGTGGCCGAGTGCTCGTCGTTCGTGTCGCGTTTCTCGTCCAGGAGGCTCTCCTGAGACGACTTCAGGGTGAGAAAGGCGTTCGACACGAACGTCTGCTCCTGGCCCAGCGAATCGATCTCGCTGCACGGGGATCTGTCCGTGCAGGGGCTACTCCCCGGCTCGTAATTCTCGAAAGCGTGTCTGCGCAGTTTTCGTCGCGGGTTCAACGTCTTGATCGGCCTATTCTCGTAGATGGACGTGATGGCGACAGGCTCCACGTTCGGATCGCGTCTTTCCTCGCCGTCCGGCACCCGCGACTTCATCTCCACGTATTGGTCCACGCTCCTGGTTACGTGACGCAATTGTTCCCGACGTTTTTGCAGCTGCTCGAGATCGATGTGGCTGCGGGCACCGCTTCGCGCCATGAACAAGTACTCGTACGGTGGACCCACCGAGCAATCCGCCGACAATGACATCTGGGTCTGCAGGTGCGTCGGGGACACGGACAGGTTGCGTCTGGGCGGTTTCTTCGGCGGCGTAGGCTGTAACGCGAGAAATTTAGACCATCTTAACCGTCGTATCTGAGATTTTCACGCTCCGGGTACTTGGAGTTCAAGCTTGTGATTAACCTTTGCACTCGAGAGGTGACTCTCTATCACTACTAGGTTTCACGTAGCAAATCTACCAGCAATAACGTTACTTTAGGTTAATTTTTTTGGAACTCGAAGTGTCAAGGAAATGACAATCGGGTTACATTTTCGAAGTCAATCTAAGCTTAGCATTCGTGGCAATAGAATGCTAAGAAAGTATCTCGAGTTGCTGGTAGATACCAAAAAAAAAGGCTTCGAGTAGAAGGGTTAATACTGTTCAGAGTGTACGGTGTATTTTTAAGTAGATCGTTTTGTTGATAATAATAGAGGCATGCAAGACGAGTTATCCGCGTAACCTGTCTTCAAAGTCTCAACCTTGGATAGCTACTTGTCCTTGAAATGAATGAAGTTAAAGAATATAATTCTAGAGCCCTTACAAAAGAGTTACATTATTTCGAAAATCTTGACAAAAGATACACAAAAATCTCATAGCATTTGTTTATATAATGAATATTAATAGCTAAAAATGTAATTCGCCTTTCTTGCCACTTCAGTGCATGCGTTATCACGTTACGGCCCAAAAAAGAATTATATTTTCTGTCGGAGGTATTCGTTTTAGAAAGAAATGAGATAAGATTTTTTCATTGCTTTTATGGCAATCTATAATTCCACGTCACTGTTTTTCCGATATAAGGATTTCAAGACTGTAACTTTTAACCAGTTAAAAGAACGTTAAATGAACGTTAGACTGAAAATGAATGTAATACCGTCGTCAAAATGTTAGATAAACGTCTTTAGAAACTAATATACGAATATTCCAGTGCCATTTCTTCCCCTTGGGGAAAAAAACGTAGCCCGACGTCAGAATGTCACGCCAATTAACCCGCGATCAATTTGTCCACGTTAACGAACTGTAAGGCGCGGAGATAATTCATTGCCGTGTTATACGCTGCAGTTCATTCTTCTAAAAAGAGTCAATCTCTGGCAAGAGAGAACAAAAATGAGATACGTAAGAATAAAGCGCTCGTCATAGAAATTGTGATCTTAGTAACGAGTGGAGATGAGATCAAGAACAACAGAAATCTGTGCAAAATTGTGTTTAATGCGATGGAAATCAATTATGAACTTATAATGTAATGGGGCTGCACGAGATGACTTGGTAATTTGAGCACTAACTATTAGGTTGATAGGAAAATAATGTCGGTTTTCGTCTACACTTAACTCATACGGCACCCATTTTTTGAGCTTCTTTAACTTTTCTGTCTGTCGCAGGTGATCAATAACTGTTGGATGGCTTACACCCAATTTCTATACAAGTTGTAGAAACGTTGTTTGTGGATCAGCTTCATCCAATGCCTTCAATTGGTCGTTGTCGACGAGAAAAGGGCGTCCGCGACTTCGTGTTCGAGGCTCTCATCTACACTTCGAAATTTTGTGTACCAACGCTGCACCATGCGTTCATTTGCGGTATCTTCTCCGAATGCATCGCTGATATTAAGAGTCGCAATTGCAGCTTTATGACCCACTTTATATTCATATAAGAATATTACACGAACTTGCTTAGTATCCATTGCGAAGTAAATAACTTGAAGTGAGCACTAATTAACGGTATAAAATAGTACCTATCAGCATGCAGCGATATATCTGCACTGTAAATGGAATAAAGTGAACCGTTATTCCAAAACTAAGCGTCAAAGTTCGAAAGTTCGAAAACCGACATTAATTACTTACCAACCTAATTCTACTCTGGAAGTAACAATAAATGGAGACAACTAATTCTTGTACCCAAAATCTCTAATTTTTTGGAATCGTTTAAAATTTTATTTAAGATGAGAGTGGATCTCGCGACCCCGTGCAACCCTTCATCGAGTGAGGGATCCGAGCGTAAAGGGAACTCGTTCTTACCGAGACTTTATTGTTAGAGGCGGGGCTGTGGAGAGAACTGGACAAGGGTGCCATTGGCAAGTAAATCCCGGCGGCGCTGGAATCGTTGGGCAAACAATGCCGGTCCCGTGGGCTCGGTCCACCGACGCTCGAGGACGAGGAGACGCTCAATTGGTCCGACTCCCTGCCACCCCCGTATCCCGTGGGTAATGTCAAGGACAGATCCTCCGACACGAAGCTACCCTCCATTGTTCCTCGAGGTACCGGTGGCGTTTGGTACAATCCGTTGTCGGAACCCCTGCGCAACCAAACTGAACGTCTCAACGGGACCAATTCACGATTAACTCGCTAATAGCTTGTTTCATCGAATTTGTTTCCATTTATTGGTTTTCGTTTTCTTAGCTTCGATAATGTGTGTTGTTTAGGCGTTGATTATAGTGGTAGCGCTTTGAATTGAATAACAATGATTAGGATTCACGAGTCGACGATGCACTGCACTAAATATACTTCTAACAAGAAATCATTCAAAGGTTTCCCGATAGACACTGATGTTATTTGCAGTTCCAATCAGACCAACTAGATGGATGTTACAAGAAATTATCGTCTTGATAAACGTTATCGCAATTTTTAAACACTTGAGAAGAGATTGATGCCGCTGTCAATGTCGATCCTATCATTGTTTACTTTAAATAAAATACCATAAGAAAACAGGAGCGGTACCAATGCGATGGAATCGAAAGCGCTACCAGCGTAATGGCGGAATGTTTGCATGTCATTACCGTGTGGTGTCGCGCTGTGGTAACGGTATTCTGTTGGTGGTAATGTTTTGTGGTTTGTCGTCGGGAGTTTGATCGGAACTTTCGAGAGTATTTATCGAGTTGAGAGTGTCGGACATGGACATAAAGACGCTGTCGTAGATGGAACTGGGGTCAGAGTCCTCTGTCTGCTGGAGGGTCCTCCGTACTCCGTTTACTGGTCCCATCTGGCCGTTTCCACTGAAATTCGCAATCCATCGAGTGTCGTCAGATTTCAAAAGCGGTTCTCTAATGACTTATCTATCGTGGATACCGAAAGCGAAGCAATGCAATTGGCATTCATCGCCAAAGTCCCCGCAGCATCAGAACCATAGTAGTCTAAAATGATAAAGCATCGACGAAACTATCAGAAAATAGTGCATCGATCGGTCTATAGTCGTCCCAAGCAGCATGTTTAACGATCCCTCGATGACCCATATGGGAGGGCAAGTTTCCCCGACTTCCAACCGCGTTCAACTTCCATCCAGCACGCAGCCATTCGATATCGCGCAGCGGTAAACACAATAGCCAGGCTAGCGAAGCGCGAGAGCACCGCAACGGAGTAGTCGCGACTGTTCATCGGCCAGGCAACAGCGAAAGAACAGCACTCCTGTAGCATCGCTCCTCCCCAACAATGCGTAACTTTAACTAGAGACGTCCGCGTAGCGAGTGCCGACTTTTTAATGAGGCCACGCAGTCGAGGTCGGAGCCAAGTGGTGAAACGGAAAGAGAGGAGAGCCGCGAGCCGTAGAAGGTTAGAGGAAGAGCAGAAACAAGCGAAGGTAGAGGTGAACGAGGAGCCGGCGAACCGCGGCTGGAGGCCATGCCCATAGGACGAGGGAGAGAGCAATGGTTATTAGTTTTATGCTGAGACGGGCTAACATTTACATTGTTTAACGTGATGGATTCATCTCGAGGCGGCCGAGCCGCGGTTACCGACGTCAAACATTGACGGTGGAGGTGCGGAGAGCACCGGTACCCGCTTCCTCCTACGCTTTGTCGCTCTCTCGCTCTCGTCCTTGTTCGCGTTTCGTTCCCTCTAGGCTCGCCGTCTCCCTTTTATCCTCTGTCAGTCTTTTGCTCGCCCAGAGAGCACTCTTTCTCCGTCTGGTCGAGCCAACCAGTAGCGCTTAGCAGCTAGCGGTAGCACCGCCGGAGAGAGTACCAATGGGGTGATACGGTAGGGGGTGACCCAGGGGTGAACGAGGCGGTCGGACCCACCATTGCCTGCCTACATCAGGAAAATTAAACCAAGCCAAGCGGTGCTTAACGCGCTGGGGCTACACGCGGCCGCGCCACCTCCTCCAATCTCTCTTCCTCCGCCTCCACTTTCAGCTTCCCTTTTCGGTCCGAGAAACCTTTCCTCCTCCGCACAGGTACCGAACCTGGCTACCACCGACGCCGCTAACCATCATCCGAGCACCCAGCGCTCGCACTCGTAGCACTCTCCACTCATTCACCCCCCCCCCCCTCCTCCTCCTCCTCCTCCTCCCCCGCCCTCGTGTGCCCGGTCCACGTCTACGCTTTTGTTTACCCAACATCTCCTATATTAAAGCTACCACGGTTATGCGCTCGCCTATACTCGCGTCCGTATGCACATACCCGGTCTTTCTAGAAAATATTACCGGCCTCCGCTCTTATCCGACGCACCGACGCGATACCCTTTTCTCCTCGGGGCGAAGATGACGTCGGATGATCTCAAATACGCCAACTCGGCCTGGCCATCGTACTTTTTTCACTACCTTTTCAATACTTTTTTTCTCTTTGTCCCCCACGGAAATTTCGCGTAACGCGAAACGGTGAATGCATCGTGCGTTGTTGTCGAGGGATATTGCGATTGGACGCTGTCGACAGCTGACTTTGTCTTGTGTGCGCGTATTACAGTGGCCCTTATTTTTTGAAATGAATATTAACTCCTTAACACGTTCCGTGCCACGTGTACCACCAGTGCTACACGCAGTCACATCTATTTAATTCGTTGAAAACATATATTTAATGACAAATTTAATTCTGTAAAAAATATATATATATGTCGAAATGAGTAACCTCCTCGTTTTCGAAGTCGGTTCAAAATATATTTCCACCAAAAGAATGAAGCACAAGTGGTACACGATGTGATAACTGCTCTAAACAAGCTAACTACTTATGGATTGATGATGTAATGAAATATTGTGTAATAATATATCAATTTATAGACGAAACATCAAATGACCTGATCGAAAAGTCGGGTAAAAAAAGACTTGGCACGGAACGTGTTAAATTATGAAGTTATGTTAAGATATTTAAGCTCAACAGCGTAGGACTAAAATGTGATGTTTACATTTGGCCCGAAAAATACACCATGGGTCAGGCTCGTGATAATCAGTTTTGCCCTGAATATCCGACCACGAGTCTCATACGTGGTTGTAGCGTAACACATTGTTGACCGGTCACGAGTTAACTCGTGTTTGCTACTTGCATTATCTATCCCAATTTATGAAACTCAGGGCGATATAGAATATTGCAAAAGCTTTGCTCATCGTATTATGTATGTAAAACATTTAATTTCAATTCACAATGTTGTTAAAATATAAATAAAGTTTATCGAAGTTTATTTAGATTGTTCTAATTTCACATTCAATTATGAAATAATAGCCGGTGACATAAAGTTGCTTCTGTGTAAAATTGCCGGTCAACAATGTTCTAAGGGGTTAATCCTTAATACACTTCATACAAAGAATCCTAGCTTCGTCCTGTCTGTATCACCTCACCGTACTATGTCTACCTCCTATTTCTTAATTTACTTATTGCACGAATAGCACAGAGTCGCCTAGCGAGCATTTCTCAACGAACACGATAACATTGCGGAAGAAGGTAACGACCAGGGTCCCAAAGAGAGCCAGGGGAAAAGAGCAAGCGACGACACGCGCGCAGGCACAGTGACAAAGAGGGTGGAAAAACATGGATACTCACAAAGACGTAACGGAAGTGCCGGAAACGCGGCGATCGTCGTCCCGAGGCTTATGATAGAACTGCCATTGAGTGGGCGACGTCCCTTCCGCCGGGGAAAGATCATCCCCCGGGCGCACGTTCTCGTAAGGGCTGCCCAATGAATCGCCACCCTGGACCGGAATCGGTGGCAAGTTTTCACTGTCGGCGTCGCTCTCCACGCCTGAGGAAGACCTGTGCCCTGCTCGCAACACATTGTTCGCATGATCATTCCAAATGGATACGCATTTGTCGGCATCATATTTGTTATGGTCTCAAAGGCTAGTCACATTTTTATTTCGTATCAGATGTATGTCAGGGTTGGCGCAATTCGTAGCGGGATACTTCTAAAGTCATCAAATATCTACCATCTAACATTTCATTCATCTCAACAGAAGTCAAAGCTCTTCCTATGAATTTTTTTCTACTCTTTCATATGCGTCTGTTATTGAGATACACTTCGTACAATATCATCGACCGTAATGAGGCAACGATTGAATATCTAATTGCACGACTTGAAAGACATGCACCAAAACTTTGAATACTTTGAATTAAGAAAAGTGTACTTCGTGGCCACGCACTTTTGATCACCGCCGTGATGTCCTGTGTGACGTGCGGCGGGAACTGCCCCAGAAGATCGAGCACCGTGTTTTGCCGCGAGTCTCGAATGGCCAAGTCGATTCCTCGATCCAGAAGGGTCCTCACCACTTCCATTTTCCCGCAGAGCGCCGCCTCGTGCATCGCGGTACCCGCGGATGTCCTCGTGTTGACATCCACGCCTGCGGCAAGCAGCACCTCCACGACGGCTCTGCAAAAAAAAAAAAAGAATTTTCACGTTAGATTATCTACGTTACAAAGAATCTTTCTTCAAGCATGCTGTATGGGTTGCTCTAAGTGTTTTAAAGGATTTAGTGTAAAGTTCTCCGAGTCAAAATAGTACAAATCAAGTTTGCTCTAGGTCGAAATTGACCCGCGAGAGTTTGTATCACAAACACACCCGTTATCCAAGAACATTTCGCGTCCAGGGGGTTGGTGCGAGCGTAATCGGTAGTCAGCTTAAAGTGGCCAGCTCGCCACGCATTTCCCGTTCGCGACCGATAGGGGGCGCGAAACCCAGAGTTTCGTTTTGCGCGAGTTCGGGTATCCTGCACCGACTGCCGCGACCGCAGCCATCCGTCGCATATAGGATTCGTGGCTGGGAATCGGATTCACGTGCACCTATGTTGTTATTACCGTGCCATAGGGGTATTTGTATACTGGCTTACCAAGAGCACCGATATTGAATCCGATAATAGACATTACTCCGGTCCCATTCCCAAACCCATTCGTCCCCAGCACACCCTCCCTCGCTCTCTCTTTCGCTCGTGTTGCGCCTCCGCCCACGCATTTCGGTCTGATCCGCCAAATATCGTGGCGGGCGCGTGAAACGCGTGCGTGAACGCAATCATCGCAGTGTGCATCGGTACACAACCGAATTCAGGCGCGTTTCGACGTTCGGTCGCTGCGTGTGTACACAACGGGACAACCCCTCCCAGTCTCCCACCCACGCGCGTACACACACCGGAGAAACACCGAAAACGAGCGTACACGATGGAGTTCCGCGCCACCGTAGTTTCGCGCCTATTCAAACATTCGAAATGCTCGTACACAGGCGCGCGCGAGCGGGCGCCACCGTTCGTTCGATGTTTGACCGTGGAGATTGTCGGGACCCTTTCGGACCTAATCAGCGAGATGAGACTTGATCGAATCGTGTGCCATTTATCGCATTAAACGACACGACCGTGCGCGGGAGTTTTTGTTTTCGCGGTGGGGGTAAAATGGAAGTCTGGGGTAGAATGGAATGAAAGGAACAATTGGATTGAACACGAGAAAGAATGTTGAATTAGTTAACATTGAACCTACCAACGTTCATTTGCAATTACTTCTACAACGATCAAACAAATGGCCAGTCTAAAAGACGCTATTATTCAATGACATGGAAGTAAATTAAATAATGCATCAAACAATCGTATATAATTTAGATTTAGATATTGCATATAAAAACTGTATATAGAAGTCGTATAACTACATCTACCGATTCTTTCAATCGTAGTATACGATTAAACAATGGAATATTAAATTAATCGAACAGTCCCAGTCCCAGTTCCAGTTTCCAGCGTCCATCGGCGAGGAAATGGGGTTAAACAACGGCAGGGATGGCGATCGAGGGTCGGCAGGTGAACGCGTCGCTGGCGATAGAAAATGCATTCATCGGGCTGTGTATCGCGACGCGATCGCATTATAAGCGTCGAGAGCGTTGGTTAAAGCGATTACCGGCTGCGAGGCTGCATAGAAAAACCGACGTTATACTCGATTACAATGTGACTGCCGTTTCGCGGCGATTCACGATCGCTGGCCGGTTTTCGATTTGAGCAGCGTCGAGTATCCCACGCCGCCACCCCCGCTCGCGAGTCGTCCGACAACGTCGATTATTTTAAAGGCTTTACCAGTCGGATTATGGACGTGACGCCGCGATGTTAAATGAGAACGAATTGGTCGAGCAAAGCGTTAAATACAATTCCGTTTCCGGGGCTCCGTGAGCACGCTGGACGCCAATCGCTTTTGGCTGGGGGAAGGGATGAAAATTTGGGGGGTTTCGGGACAAAAGAAATTTTGTAGGGTATTTATCGTGCTCGTGGTATCGCATTTAAAAGTATTTTCTACATTTTGTTAGAATAGAAAATATCGTTCATACTCGTGGTCATTAAATTTGAGTTTTCATTTCGAGATGGGGGTGGTTCTTTCTTGCATAGTGTATGTATACTTTTTTTGTATCGAGATTATACAACTCATTATATGCTTCGATGAAAATCGAAAACATCAAAGTAATGGTTATTGAAGCACGAGCATCTTTAATATCATCAAAGACATACGAAAATTTTAAACGTTCCCGACCGTGTAATTGGTCGTCTAAGGAGACGTGTAATTTTATACTTGGAAGGTGTATAAAAAACTCAAATAGTATGAAGTATATAAAAATTATTTAAAATAAAAATGATAAAACACGCGCAAGAGAAAATTCATGCGGAACGTTGCGATAATATAAATTGAAAAATGTGTACATACGCGAGGAGGTGTGCGCAAACATTCAAAGAATTGTTTTTGAATTCAGGGCGAAATTCATGCCCGTTATGTAATTGTAAAGCACCAGCGCAACCGATTATCCGGTTAATCTTGCATCATCCGATTGAACGGTTCAATTAATCAAATAACAATGGTTCGCGCTTACAATATCGTTTATTTAACTGAACATTTTTACCGGGCAACGCAACGATTGTCGATTATTTGTGTAAATACTAGTAAATCGATCGAACGCAGAGAACCTTCTGCGATATTTTCGGAGATTCTTTCCACTTTTGAGAAAATAATTACTTCAAGCTTCGAAACTAAAGCGTAAAAGGGTGAAAAACGTTGTCTGATTAGCACTAATACAGAATGGAGGGATGTTACTTTATATCAAATTCAATGTTTTAGAACAAGCTGATCTGCATTGCCAAATTGATACTACAACCTACGACATTGCGTAGAAGTGTCCTTAACCCTTTTAGAATTGGGGTTTACAATCGAGGACACAATACTTAAAAATGTCCAACACTATCGTTTAGGGCGAATGTCCATTTGTGTACGTCATGAAAGACCAGTTTTCCTCGAAAACTACACTATTAGGATTTTTTTTTTATTTTTTCCATACTAATTTTAGTTCAAATTAACCCTAAAAATTAAATTGCATTAGTACGAGAAAAAAAATTCAGCTCTGAAAGGGTTAAACTCAAGTATCAAGTCATTTAAGACAGTTCACGCAAGATCGCTTCAGCAAATCGTACCCGTCTCTTAATTAGCATTTCGCAGGTCCACCGAGCACCTGTCCGGTGACTTACGGGCGCCAGTTTGCGTTGGTTCAAACAGGATCCCTCCGAGGGAGAGGTATTTCATCACGGCGCTCCTCTATCAATGCGTCCGGACACCTTCGGGCATGAAAGGGCATTAAACATCCCAGAACAGAGAGCGAGCAATCGCGATTCAGCCAGTGGGCAGTGGTACGATCTAGGTCGATACGTTTCGAAGGTAATGATTAATACGATCCTCGTAATCGAGAAGCGGTCAGCAATCTGCACGGATGGACAGAGCTGTTGACGGTGCGATGCGCGATCGAATGCATTTCGCACAACTACGAAGAGGAACGAGAGGGCAATCGGCAGGATGGTAATATAGGACGTGTAACTAGGAGAGGGTTGCGACGGATCATGCCAGTTGGAGGACGTACATACATATCGTATTCGACGGGATTACGCAACGCGGTGCTCTCTGATTGGCTCTAATGGGCAACGCTGCAAATGGCACGACATCGTTATGGTTAGCTGAAACGAGTCCATTGTTGTTCCTGGGATACAATGCGCCGAGACGACGCATTACTCGGTAATTAGCGCGAACAGTCCAGAGGGGGCAAAAACTGTCCTGGCATTCTCAAAAGAACGGAATTGAAGAAAGATTCGTGGAACGTACGTTGACTTTCCAATGTACAAAACTTTAAAACGTCCTAAAACGATCTAGAAATGTTTATATTCCACCAACACATTTATTAGAATTTAAATTGCGTTTACTTCAACGTTCATCAAACAAAAATTTCGACTATCGAGAACCGATATCAAAGGAATATTGGGAGTGAAATATTAACGTATTCGATAAAAACTGATAGGGTTCCCTTTCGGTCTCGTTACGTCAAACACAAATTAATCGTGCGATACGTGTACGCGCTCGGAAGCCCAGTGTATATACATGAGTTCGGTAGGGTTCCGCGAATCATGAATAATCTAACAACGATCCTGATCTGCAATGCAATATAAAATAGATTTCATGGACACTGGTGGCAAACGCGCGAGCCGCCACCCTCGCGTGTTGATCGAACGCCATGCACGATCATCGGGCTCGGCTTGATTGAATAAAGAGAGAGCGTGGAACTGTTGAACGATACCGTCTGGTTATTGGACACGGTATAATCGAAACCGTGGCATAAGATAGAGTTGAACATCAGACAGAATTCGTAACGAATGCGTTGGAACGTGAAATACCGAATGATAATGACAGATAGAATAATTTAAATACAACGCGAGCTTCATTCGTTTTAATGTCGTTCATTTTTCTGGATTTAATTTCAGCTTATAATTGTATCTTCTCTTTACGTATAGGTTCAGAGAAAAATATCTGATGACAAGCACTCACCTGTGACCATTTCGCGAAGCCAAATGCAGAGGAGTGTGCGGAAAGATCACCGACGAGGAAGAGTTCCGAAGAGGCACGATCAGCTCTGGGTACGTGCTGACGAGTAATTGCACGGTTTCCAGTCTAGAAAAAATAATGAACTTCTCAGAAAGAGCGCAAACCCTCTTAAAATACACGAGTCGAATCAACAAGCAAATATGAACTTTAAATTTAAATTATTAACCAACAAGTTTATTTCAAACACTAGGACATTAGATTTTCTGATCCTTTTTAACAATAAGCATATTGATAGCATGTTTATACGATATGTTGATCTACTGATTCTACTTCTAGACCGAGCAACAATTCGAATGACTATTTGAATTAAAATGTCTCGCCGCAAAAAAAAAAAGAGAAAAATTTGCACTTGCAATTTACCTGCCATATTGTGCAGCGAGATCGAGCGCAGATTCTCCACGGCTGTTGCGGATACTGGGGTCGCATCCGTATTGCAACAGCTGTGCCACCACTTCCGTGTGCCCATACTGTGCAGCACAGTGCAACGCTGTCTCGTTGTCCTTCGTCTGCGATCATACAAAGCCGGTATTTCCAGTTAACAAATAACTTTACCCCGATTCCGAGGATTAGGAAATTTCGCGTTAACCTCGAAACGACACGGCACCGCGAAAATCTCATTGTTGCCCGAGCAACAAGGAACATCTACTTTTTACGAAAACAGACGTACAATTCTCTGCAACGTTGTATGCATCACGCCGAAAGTTAATGTGGAAGTTGAACGCAAACTTTATGATTTCAGTTTAAACATACTCGTAAATAAAACAGGAATATAATCCTTGTAGGAGTCTCTCTCGTTACATGAAGGGGTAGTTTTCAGGATAACTGTCCTGACTCGTTGGATAAATATAGTCTATACAAAACTTGTCTGTGATTATTGGTAGTAGTGTCTATAGAAGAAACGTGGTTATATGTAGATAAAAACAAATAGAAAAATAGGCGAATGAAAAATCATGAATTAAGGGGTACCGTTAAATATGGTAGAAGAAAATATGATATAGAACAAAGATGGTTATATGTAGAAACAAAAAATTCAAAAATAGATGAATGAGAATGAATTAAGGGGCGCTGTTAATAAAGACAATGTACACAGTGTCGAGGAGCGATTGTTTGGTTTGAAAGTTCGCAAAAGCTGACTAAAGCGTCTGATTCAATACACTTGACATTTCTTATCAGGACTCAACCTTTAATCTCCCATCTATGCAAGCAACAAAAGAGCTCGTTTCACGGATTATTTGCCCGTTCCGTTGATTAAAGTATCCTTATAAAAATAAAAATTACGAAGCTGCGGTGATCGCGAACGATCGAAAGTATTAATACCGCGGCAGATTTACTTTAATTAAGAAAAAAGAAGAGGCACAAACTTACTGACCGTAAGATTCACTTTGGGTACCGAAGGTCCTTGGGTAAGAATTAACCGCACGATTTCAGCGTCGCCCGCCCAAGCTGCCAAATGAAGCGGCGAAGAGCCTTTAGTATCGACGACGTTAGTGGAAGCCTCATATTGGAGCAATAACTTTACCACCTCCCTGAGGATAAAAGCGTTTCCTCGAATTATCGTCAGAGTGTGCGCGAGACATTGATTAATAGGCGATCAAATAGAATATTAATGAGAGACACTTCGAGAATGGCTCGATTTTATAAATCGGCTGGTGAAACGAATGTAATCAATAGATGAATTTTAGCAACGAATCGAATTTTAATTGTGAATGTTAACAGCGAAGTAAACTCGAACTGTGCCTGCTGAAACGTACTTGTGTCCATTTAAAGCTGCGTGATGAAGGGCGGAATATCCACTAGGGTCTTGCACGTTAGCCCCCGGACCCCGCCGCAGGCTGAAAAGAAACGACATATATTTATAACATTGCGCCTTGTACCAAACATATTACTTATTCCTAACAACAAAGTTTCTCTTTATTATACTCGAGGTCTTTAACCCTTTCAGCCTGAATTATTTTCTTTCTCATACTAATGTAATTCAATTTTGAGGGTTAACTTGGACTAAAAGTAGTCTGGACAAAATAGAAAAAAAATCCTAATAGTGTAGTTGCCGGGGAAGACTGGTCTTCCTTCATGTGAACAGATAAGGACATTCGCCCTAAACGATAGTGACGGTAATTTTTCGATTTTGTGTCCTCAATTGTGAACGCCAGGTCTGAAAGGGCTAAACAAAAATGGAGGATCCTCTCGATAAAGTGAGTGTCCAGGACCGTTAATGATCTCGATCACGATCAATCACAACGTTAGTCCCTGTACCACGGTTATTCTCATCAATTTTTATATCCACTTTCTTTCTTTCACTTTGTAACTTCTCTAATTGCTAGGTCGAGACCTCGCTGAAAACTTCCATGCTCTAGATCTTCCGCGACCTCGTTTTGGACTAAGTTGTGGTCCTGAATGCGTGTAGCTTTCGCGAGCTTGATTCTACCAAGAAGAGTCATTGGACTTAATGGACCTGAATGCAATCCTTGCTTCCTTAAACTCGGCTGCAATTCAACGCGAGCATGGGTGCAATCCTTGCTCCTTTGAACAGTCGGAGTCGACTGACTTCTCAACCAAAAGGCAGCCCCTTTTGCAGCGCTGCTAGGAAAAGTGCAAACAAATCTTTTTTACCGCCTTCCATGTTTGACGAGCCTCGTTTACATTCTATCCTCGCGCTTAGATAAATATTTTCGCCGTGCATATTTACTACAACTTCAAAGGACGAGATTGGTGCAATTTGTTGCCGTTCTTAGTGTGTAGTTTTGGTAGACGTTTATAATTGGAGTAGTCAAAAAATTGAGCCTGACAATGGAGGTAAAAATGCGTGTGTAAGGCTAGCGTGTTTTAGAGAAGGATTTGTGTGCGGAATAGTCGAGGGTTGGACCATGTATTTTAATTATTAACCCTTTGAAGGGCGTATATATACGAGAAATGGGCTCAGAGAAATGTTTATATTCGTTAAATCAATTTTTAAAAAATATCCGCTTATAAAGGATGGTGAGACGAAACCTTTTTATATTTACAGTTTATTCATAGAATGTTTAGTTTCGAAAATAAAAATTGAAATGTTAGAAGTTCGTTGCAAAAATTGAATTTCAGGAAAAAGATCTTTCAAGTTTTCAATGTCTATCTTTGAAACTAAACGTCGCATGAATAAACTGTAAATATACAAAAGTTCCGTCTTATCATTTCCTATAAGCTGATATTTTTTTTAAATTCACACCTCCAGCAAAAATCGCCTCGTAGCCAAAGGGTTAATTACTAAACATTAATGGTGATGAAAACAATAATATGAACCGCTGTTATGGCGTGTTAGATCAAACGAGAAACAATCGAATCGTCCTCGGCACGAGAAGGTGTCGACGCTCGTCTCAAGGGAATAAACGCGGGGGAGCGTACGCGTTGCGTTTACCAGGTCCCAGGACACGGTGAACGTTTATCTCGGCCACGGGCGCGACAAAGGCGCGTAATGAGAACATGTGCTGGCTGCAGGAAGCATCCTAGGCTTCATTAGCGAACCTGTTTCTGTCCACGAGGCGCATTGTGCCACCTAACCGTCTGCACCGCGGCCGATACACTGACGCGTTGCGTGGTGCGCGCATTCTTTGCTATCGCGACGAACGCGTAGCCCGCGGTTATTTGTTACCGGCACCGAACATGAATTCCTAATTGCGGAAATGAGGCCCAGCCACCGTTGCATGATCGTTACCGTCAACGACCCGACACTCGGGGGTGGTTTGAATGTCGCAGCAAATAATGCTCAGGAGGTTACTTCGAAACGTTCCCGCGAGAATCGCTGGGGTGACCGAGTCCCCAAAACAGTTGGCTAGATGGATATTCGAGGAAGCTTGGATTCGTCGAATTGACGAGGATCGGTATCTGTATTAACCCCGGTGCTAATTAATCTTCTATTGGAATGTTTCTCGAAGTTTGCCACGCGAACAATTTTGAAATTGATTTAAAAGTGAATCTTAGCTCTTTGGCGAGAGTTTGTCGTTCCTTGTGTTAGATGCTACGCGGAAGAATTTCTCGTTATCCATCGTGTTCTTCTTAAGTGGATTCGATTAGCGCAACCTCGGGATGGCCACTAACGCCAGCCTCGAGTACTCGATCAAAGGCGATCGAATTGCCTAGATTTTACGATCGATTCGGGACGCGTTGAAACGGGCGGCAAAGAGTCCTTTGGAATTGAAAATGAGATCGTCGCGAATCCGTCGACTGGCTTAATCTTTCATTTGTGGTGAGTTCGTATAGGGTGAGTTTGGAAAAGACAAGTATTTGGAATATGTACACTATTAATTGACAATTTGGGGACTGTTCGTTGGTACATTTCGAAGTAAAAAGGAGGGAGAGTCATAATTACATGCAAATTTAATTGGGCCATTTCGAACAAACAATTTTTGTAGCAAAAGTGAATTCAATTAATTTAAAACAAAATTTAATTAACTTGAATTTATTTCCATTTAATAAATGTCATTCCATTTAAATTTATTCCTGCTTGTAATATCGACCGTTTCAAACGAGCCAATTAAGTTTGTTGAACATCTGTTCAATATAATTAATTATTGAAAGATTCGGCCGGATCATTCGTCGATAATTTTCAACTTTAAATTAAATATAAATATTTCTTTTATGATCTATGCAATACTGTAGATCAAACTAAAATAAAATAGAACTATGAATACGTTACGAATATTTATACACTCTACAATAAACATCAAATAAAATATAAAATACCACCTAAATTAATGTCAAATTATTTTGATAATTTTTAGTACTCAAGGAAAAAAGCTTCAAAATTAAAATGATAAAACTGAGGAATTCGTAGATAGAATGCGAATATCAGCCTCGCAATTATACCATTATTGTCCCTCACGGGTGAGTAACATCGCGCTACTGGAACATGCAATTAACTCGTCAAAACAACGCGTATTGGTACACGTGGAACACCCACTATCTTCCCACAAACATTAAGACTTTCGAACGTTTAAATTCAACTGCAACACCCGTACAGGCACGAACTCTCAAATAAATTATCCTGGCCAGAGCCAATCGAAATGATCCTCGGAAATTAAGCTGCCACGACTAATACTTATGATAGTGCCTATCATGAGAACCTAATAACAAACTCACTATGTCATTGGCGAAAAATGTACTTAAGCAAACGCTTGGAGATCTATTGATTCTGAGAACGTTGAAAAATATACTAGTTTCGGTATTTGACAACGCGGAATCGACGCTCCGAGAAAAACAATGTAAGGGGGCGCAATATTTATCTTGAACGATTAATAGGCATCATAATCGAGCCCACGAAGCAGGCACGGTATTTGCTCAGATCTCGTTGATTCCGATATGAACATAGAGACGCAAAAATATGTATACTTACCCTCGTCCTCCGAGCTGTCACGCAGCTCTTCTATCGATATTAGAAACGTCGTGACGCTCTGCCAACATTAAACGTTCCATTTCTCGGTTCGTATGACGCGAAATTACGCGCACAATTCCGAATTGTCGTGTATATCAACAATCATCCGACGTTTTCATCTTCGACCTTGGTAAACGCGTCGATATTCGAGTGTATACCAATTAAATATTCAATTAACTACCACCTGTCTAATTCGCAACGATACCCGACGCTGGCCACAGCTGTTCGCGAAGGTGTTATAATTGTAAACCATGATCGACATCACTTTTCAGCGAATGATGTTTACCTGTATTCGCGAGTCAACTGAAAATTGTCGGTAACAAATGTTTGAAAATCGCCGCTGTTTGTCAAAGCGACGCAGCGTCAATACGCGCGGGTAGAGTGTGGTGAAAACTGCGCGAGTAAATATGTAAAAATATCCATTCGCGACGACGATTTAATTCTGCACGGTGTAAAAGCTGTTGTATCAGTTGAGCAAATACACGCGGAATGCGAAATATTAGAGGGGACGAAAATACTTTCAAATTAACGAACACTCTCCGATAGAACATTTTAACAATATTTTAAATGATTTAAGTGGTCAATAATTGAGGTTCGATTTAGTTTACTACTATCTGTACAACATGCACAACAAATATAATTGTTAATTCTTGAATAGCCACTCACAGAAACTCTTCTGCGAACATTAGGAAGCATATTTTCACCTCGTCGCAGGACAACGATTCGAAAGATCCGGTGATTATTGTCATCGCTCGCCATGCTTCCGAACAATTTCGTTCTCGCACCCCAAATGAGCGAACAGGGCGTAAAAAAAAAGAACTCGTGGATTTCCCTCGTTAACGGGACGCGTTCTGAATCGACGCTTACGCCGTTGCCGGCATCAAAGCATCGCATTCAGTTTACCCAAAACAATTACGCGAAACCGAAGGCCTTTCTCTGCGGAACGGGGCACATCAAAGAGGCGCGGCCGTCGTCGTCATTAAGCAACGACGTCATTAAGCTTTCGGGATACCGGCACTTTGAATCATCGGCTCGCGGCACGCGTGCAAGTCCGCGAGAGGATCGTTCAAGACCGACGACAGCCTCGCCGACGTTGACTCTCCAGAAGCCTCTAATCCATTGTAACTAAGATCAAAAACGAGAGAAACTGTCGATTTTACAAACGCAAACTCACCCCCCTTTGGTCCCCGTTTGCGTTCAAGTGCAGGGGTAGGGCGCCCCCTCGAGGTCTGGAGGGGCGGCAAGAAAAAGAAACGAACACTCGAGGGTTCCCGCGGAGTGGCGCGCAACGCTTGGAAGTTCGAGGAGCTTTCGGTCCAGGCGAAGAATAGGAAAGAGCTAACGCGGAGAGGAGGACGGCACGTGTTGAATTTCCCTCTTTCTTCTCCTCTCGCCATTCTTCGCTACGTCAACTCCGGGCTGTCCTGG